ACATCATTCAGCTCTGACTTTGATTTCTTTGAGTCCGAGGGTGAAATATTTGAGGAGACTTGAGTTCTCCACGAGGTCGGCCTCATTAACACAGGTGTGTCCTCACCTCTGTGGGAGACTGCTCATTAAAAACACACTCTGCACTCACAACACGCCAAACTCAATTCAGAAATCTGTCACTTAACGCTGCTGTTGACAGAAAAAAAAAAATAAAAAAATAAAACATTCACTTAATCAGAAATTACCCTGAATGCCAAGGCCAAGTTTACACCCACGTTTCTACGACTCTCACACGACCCAGATTTAAACGTTAAAATAAATAAAAATAACCTAAATTTAAAAAGCAGTCCAAGTATTTTTGATGAGTTTACGCCGAATTAAAGAAGGACATCCGCTAGTTCTAAAGGTTGTATTAAATCGATTCAACATTACTTTAATATCGCAGATAAACGCGCGACATTATTAAAAAGATCATTTATCGATGACGTTTTGCAAGGAGTTCTTGTCGTACACTGCTCTACACGTACAGAAGCCACCGGGAATGTGAATTTATTAAATTACGGATAATTTAAGCAATAACATTTCTTCTACCTTTCGCTACAGGCTTACTTTGAGTGCATAATGGTGAACTTTATCAGCTTTTAAGAGACTCAAGTTCCCCAATGCCTCACCTTGCTAACGAAACGCTACCAAGCGGGCAATAGCGGCGCCGTGAAACTTCCAAATCTGATATTTTACAGAGAATATTTGTGCTTTCTGGGTTTAAAATCTCTGCCGAATTGAAGAGTGTGTCCAAAATTATCAAAAATCTGCATTTGCAGTCAGGTGCGACGTTTGTTCTCGCATAGAAAAGCCAAAGATATAAAATGCCTGAATTTTAAATGGTAGCCCGTGCATTCCAGGACAGAAGACGGGGCGATGAGGGTTTAAACTTGGAATAGTGAGTGAAAACTGAATGCAAACTTTACTCGGAGAAGAAATATTGGATATTCCAGTATCTCTGTCGTGTGCGGACTCTTTTATTATGTTACAATTTTTTGTCGGAGGCGCACAGCTGAGGAGGAAGCTTCCAAATGAATGAATGGACCCGGTACTCACCTATGGACACAAGCTTTATGTTCTCCTTTTCCAGGAACTCAAGAGCCACCGACACGTTTTCCAGCTTCATCTGCCTGAAGGTGGGCCTCGGGTGGTACTTTCTGTACATCTTCTTGTGACTGAGGACCTCCAGCAGGGCGATGAGCCTCAGGCCGTCGCCCAGGTCCAGCTGCAGATCCACGATCCGCTTGTTGACGCACTTCAGGTGCTCGTTGATCCAGCGGGTAAAGGTGTTCTGCTGGATCTTCTTCCACGGAGCGTCCTCCGCCAGGTCCTTCTCTGTGGCCGGCATCTTTGATAAGTTTCCTCGCTGACTGTGTGTAAGGCTTCTGGCACGGAGATGGGTTAGAAATTACAGAAAGTTAACCGGTAAGCCTGCTGTGTTGCCGCGTTGTTTCCTCGGAGCTGCTGCAGCTCGGTCTGAACTTTCTCCGCACTAATGCCGCTGCGTTCAGGTGCTGCTCGGATTAATCAGCTTCTTCTTCTTCTTCGCGTTTGTCTGAGTTGCTAGTCACCGTCAGCGACGTTTTACCGCCTCCCAACGGCATTGAAGTCCATTAAAGTCTATTTATTTTCCGCACCTTGGACACAGATGCAGACACTACACACAGAGTAGTTATAGATTCGGTTTGAATATAAATACATGTAAAAACATAATTTCATATTTCTTCTAGTCAATAACCTTTGTGTCAATGAGTTTTACCTCACATTCTGTAAATTTAGTTATTAATTTTGCATAAACCTTCATTCATTTGAGTTTCAGGCCCTCACACATCCATTTGGGTGGGTTGAAATTCGAGGCTTTATTTTTTCCAGCATTTTTAAGCCCTCTTACCTTTTTATTACTGTGGTCTGGCAAGGTTACATGTGAGAGGATGGACCTTCATAACACTCAAAGCATTTCCCATTTATTTGTTCATTGTGGAGAAATTGTAGCAAAGAAGATTTCCAGCACATTAAATATTTTTTGGAGTGGAGAGCAGAGGGTTTGGTCCTGCTTACTTCCTTCAGTTTATTTCCAGTGAGTGTAAGTGCCTTACACCTGAACTCTGTCCAGCAGAGGGCGATTCCACTGGTTATTTCCTTTTGTGTATAACACTGTGTGGAAACTGCCCTTCATTTTTTTATAGTAGCTCAGGCGCTACTATTACTGAGTACTACACAATACTTTGTGTATATCATTCTTTATGAGAGTGAAACAGGAGGATGGAGTGCTCTGATCAGCCAATAAGGATGCAGCGTTCACTGGTTTAATAGTTAGTACCAATCCTCATTCATCAGGTCTTCATTTCAAAAGGCTAAGCTATTTATGATGACAGAGGCTTCATAGCAGGACTTCACTAACAGATAAGTGATGTCACTGCTGCTACGTCCATCTTTTATTTACAGTCTGTGTCTGAAAGCCATAAAGCTAAGACTAAGATTTATCTAAGTTTATGACTTTGGGGTAAGTTTATAAAAACACTGATTTCAGTTGGTTTAAGCTCCTTTAGACTCTGAGAATTTCCCAGCTGTTTTTTCCACATTTATTTCTTTTTGACTTATCTCTGCTTTGCAGCACATCTACACGCCCTTGTCTGTGCTCTGTAAATACTGCAGTGATTATCCCATGTGATGCTGATTGATGATCCACTTTATTAGCACCAGATGTGACCACATGTGTCCAGTGACCGTTTGGCCTCCCCCACTTTATAAGAAGCTTATTGTCATGAAACACTCCCTCTGCCCATGTCCCAGTATTTTAAGTTTTACCTGAATGAAATCGTGTCTTACTTTTCTTTTCTTCTGACTCAGAATCAGACAGACAGAAATATGAGTACTTTTTATTCTGTCTGCATGTTGAAACCTTCTCATAAAAGGTGACATCATGCTCCGGATAGATGATTGATGCGTGTTTGTTGTGTGACGACATTCAGCTTATATCAAACACACACACTCATATGCAAGTCCAGACCTGTGTTGTCTAATTGTGCAACCTTTGCTTCTCTTCATTATTTCATGTCTGCATTACATCACCTACAGCTCACTCTGCCTTAAAGGGACAGTTCACCTCAAACTCACTTGACCTGCAGTGTTTTTTAGATGAAGATTGTTCTAGAAAGATCTCAGGCTTCTCTTGATATGGAGAAACCTGGGAGAGAAGTAAACTGCACTCGGTTTGAGGTGCTCCAAGTAGCAAAACACAAAATCAAGAGACTTCTTAGAAAAGTGTCCATAAACGTTGGTGTGAGCAGGTTCCACTCACGGAGGAAGGCTTACAGCTCAGAACATGATGTTTGGATTTTATCAGATGGATGATTTCTTCTGCAGAGCAAAAATAAAGTGATTTATTTTTCTTATAAGGAGTTGGCGTGCCATAGTTCCAGGGTTTTCAAGTGTTTTGTTTTTTGGTTCTTTTTGTTCCTGTTTTGACTTTACAGTTGTTCTACTGATAGGTTTCAGTTCTTGTCTTGATTTCTGTATTATTCTAGTTTCCCTAGTGTTATCTTTCAGTAATGTCCTGGTTTACTTTGAAGGTTAGTGTCTCCTCCTGTTTTTACTTCCTGCCCCTTTTCCTCCTCTGTGATTGGCTACTCCTCTCTGATTCTGTCCTCTTGGGTCAGTTGGTCTTCTGTGTACAGTATAAACTGCATCATCTCTTGCTTTTTCAGGTCCTTTTGTTGTACCAATGGTTATTTTCCATGTGTTATCTGCTTGCAGTGCTGGCTTTGGCCCATTGTGCCCTTTTGGACTTCTGTTTCCACCAATAAAGTTTATCATTTCTTTTGCGGCCACCTCATTATAGGGTTTTAGGATTTTATGGAAACACAAAGAAGAGTGAAAAAAAATTACATCTGATCGCAGATGTTTAATTTTCATTTCAAACATCTTAATACCTAAAATAAAATAAAAAAAGGGGGGGGGGGGTCTGAACATGGGAATTATGTGATGTGTTCACTTTCAAGAGGACAAAATATTGTTATTTTAGGTTTTTGCTCTGAGTTTTCATCACCCTGATAAACAACCATACACAGAGGAACATGAACATATAGCACATGAAAACATATATACATCAACCAATAATTTATTTTTAGGCATCTTTCTTGGTTGTCGTCATAGAAAAGCTGTATATAATAACACACATAAACACACAAAAAGAAAACATGACTATGATATGATGTTTATTCTTTTTCTCTGAAGATTCAACCAGAGATACTTGACTGCAATTCTGTAACTTTAACGAAACAAAAGTAAAAATAATAAATTAAGGGTTTGTAGCAGCACACGTTTGGATTTTAGGCGCTGATATTTCAAGATTTTTCTTAAGGATAAAGCAACTTTAACAACTTTGAGATAATTTTGTCTTGAAAACTTTACTCTAACATTAGTTTCCCTTAAAAAAAGCCACTTCATTAATCCTGTATCGATCAAACTACATATTTTATAAACATTTTCTTGTACTTGGGAGTTGTTTGTGCACTACAAAATCATTCAAATTCACAAATCAGTTTAATATAATGCTCCAATCTAGAGATTTTTCAGAAATGAAGGCATTCATACTGACCTTTACCTTTCTTCTTGCAGTGTTTTAATCTAGTAAAAATGGATTAAAGGGAATTATGTTTTCTTTAACACAACAGTCTTCAAGAATCTGGAAACATTAATATTTAAAGTGTCTTATTTGCATTTAATTCAGAACCACAAAGTGCACACCATCTCTACACGATGCAGAGTTTTAAATGTTGTGAGCAGTTACAGTAAAAATCCCTTTGTAATGTCCTTCCTGCTGTTGCCATTTCAAAATAACAGCATGCAGAAGCCAGATGGAAAAAAACAGGATAGTTTCAACCTTCTGAAGTATTTATATTGACCCAAAATGAGTTCATCTCTGAGTGTTTGTGAATAAAGACACAGGAAGCAGGTTTGGTGGGTCAGCTTGCTACAACTTTAATCCAAACATCGCTCTGCATATTCAATACATCCTCATCATATCCTCTACATAGCTCCCTCTCATATCTCTAAACAGTTTTAACAAAATAAGTCTAGTAGCACATCAGTCGATAACATTTTATCTTACAATTCTCTCTCTGTTCTGTAGTGTTTTTTCTCTTTACACATCAGGAGTATTTGTTCATTGTCTTATTTTAGTTCTTTTTAAACACGGAGACGAAACGGAGTACACGAACGATGACGAACGCTGCTCAAGAGTCCAGACTGAACCCACACACACACACACATCCCTGTCTACCAACACACACACTTTGAAATGATTCAATGTCTCTCAAAATATTTCATCAGAGGTCTGATGTCTTGTGTGTCATTAAAAAAATGAATAGATTTTGATATTTGGCCCGTTAAACATTTTTTACAAATTTTCTTGTTCCTCCTTTTAAACTTTGCTCTTCGGGTGTTGTATAGTCGGTTAATCTGAATTCTGGGAAATTCTCAGACATTTAAAGAGCCGTGATTAAGCTGAAAGCCCTGGAAAAAGCAACCTCTGACTGTCAAACCAAGTGTGTGTGTGTATATATCAGGGGAGGTGTGTGTGTGTGTGTGTGTGTCTGCACACATACACAAAGTGTGGTGTTAGTTACATCAGAGGCACTTTGACCCCTTTTCTCTGTGCCCCCAACATGGAGAAAGAAAAAAGTAAACCCAACACAAAATAAATCAGATTTTATTTCAATAATTTGGCTTCAAGTTTCAACCCAGACCCCAGAATTTCCCCAAACAGAAACAAATGAAAATAACCCCAGAGAAAACGCCAAGTTAGACATCCAACATGGCCGACTGAAAGCAGAACAGGGCAGAGCTTCCTGAAATTGCTTCAGCGCGAGAGCTTCCCAGCAGCCTCGGGTTAATCACGATGACATGGTGCACTTCGTCATCATTTGTGCTTCGTTTGTGCTCTTAGAGCCAGGATCACCCCGAGTCTATAAACTCAGACCTGCTCAAGCCCGATGTGATGCACGGTCACCTGAACTCACATTTAAGGCAGAACACCTGAAGTCACTGAACGAACGTCTATCTGACCAAAAACAGATCTTAAAGCCCAAAGCATTCGAATTACTCGAACTCTAGTGAAACTGAGATGTTAGCAGGAAACCAGAGAACGTTTCTGTTTTTATCATTTTAATTGTAGTAACTGTAGCAATCGGTGGAGCTGAGGGATGTCGCAGCACCGTGGGCCACTTTACTGGCGTGCCCATTCAAGTACTACAACCTTGCCCTAAAATAAACCTCCGCTGTGGTTTAACTACACTTCTAACCTTTAGTTACTGTTTGGAAACAGCTGCTATCAAGGAAGTGCCTTAAATTCTTGTTTCATCTGTTTTGGGCATTTTATCAGGGAAAACTAAAATGAAATGTGTGGTTATTTTGTGTCCTGAAGGAGATTCAAAAAGTATTTATTAGTATAAATCGAAGATGGGCACATCCCCTGGGTGAATTACAGCTGACGTCTGTAAACTGGGATCAAGAAAAAGTGGCTCCTCCTCTAGATCTGCTCTAACACAACGAGCTGGTTTGAAGAATTTAGCAAGTAAATTTAAGCTGAATGTGGAGCTGTGTAAAAGAAAAGCCATCTCTTCTTCAGAAACTCTGTCCTCAGAGGTAAAGGTGAAACAGACAAATTTACCTGTCAGTGACGTTCGAAGCTGCTGGAAAGCGCCGGGTTAGCATTAAGCAGGTTTGTGTGTATGTGGAAGCTCCACCTGCTGGAGAACGTTTTGTTACCTGGAAATCAGCAGAGAGACGAAAAAAAATGGGGAAAGGGGGGGGAAAGAAAAAAAAAAAAAAAAAAAAGGAGCCCCCCACCAGAGCTGAGAGAGCGGAGAATAAAAACAACAACACTCCCCGCCGCAGGAAAAACAACAACAACAAAAACCCAAAACAAAATAATCCAAGAAGCTTCTGAGTCCTCTGTAGAAACCACAACCTTTATATCCCTCTACAATTATGTACAATTAGACTTTATACAAGTAAAGCAGTGACGCTCTCCTCACGGCGCTCCGTGTGTGTGTTCGCTTGTGTTTTGTGTCCTAGGTGGAGCTGCTCTTGGAGAGGTTGGGGTAGAGGACGGCGGCCGTCACGGCGACCATCACTGCGACGACCGGCATCCAGGGGCTCCAGCCGCTCTGTTGGAGAGAAATGAACGAAAAAACACACACGAGACAGAAACAGACGAAGAAACGCGTGAATAAATAAAGTTAGTTTGAACATTACGAGTAAAAGTGGACAGAGGCAGAAGGAGAGCTTTTAAAGGAAGAGGAGAAAGAAGATGAAGAGGCAAAGACAAAAGAAGAGAAGCCACTTCAGTCCAAAAGATGATATTTCATTTCTTTTTCTCGTGCAAAAATTCATCTGATTGAGGAAAAAAAAGTTTATTTACGAGAACAACGTAAATGAATCAGTCAAACTGCATGTAAGTGACAAAAATGTCCACCTGAGGCTGGCTCCAATTAAAATGTAAAAATGTAACTTTTATAGAGCCCGCTGCAAAAACAGGTTTGACCTCTGATAGTTTGCTGCTTCTGACAACTACACAGGATTTTTCAAATAACTGAGGCTGAGATTTTCAAGGCTGTGGCTGCTTTGACCAACAGCGCAGAAACAGGTGGCTGAACTGGACCTCTCAAATACATTTATGCCGTTTCTTAGCTTTTAACATTATTTTTTGGCCTTTTTTTGGCCTTTATTTGATTGGACAGGGAAGATTTTTGACACACAAGTGGGAAGAGAGCAGACGGCCTTCAAACCCAGGCTGCTCAAAAGGGTCAGCTAAACTTCTTCCCCTTCAGAATATTTGTAATGTCATGATCTGAATAATATGGCTAATCAAATTCAGTATTTTATCAATGTGAAAAATGAAAGGAACCTTTTGTCTAATCAATCTGAAACAATAAAAGTCCTATTCACTATAAAACATTGCTAGTTTAAGGGAGAAGCCTTGAGTCTAATTTTGTAGATTTGAATTAAAACACAGTGACCTCTGACAGCAGCAGATTTTTTAAAGGAAGCATCACTAGTTTGAGACAGCAGCTCAATGTGAAGACGGGATGCCCGTTGGGACTAAAGCTGCCAGTTCAGCACTGCAAGGTCCTTATAAATGCTGCTCTTTGAACTTGTGGTCAAAGAAAAGCTCTAAGGGGAAAAAAGGCCTTTTCAACTACAATCAGGTTATTAGGTATCTAGAAAAACGAATAATTTTTACAGTAGCCAAATAACCTTCAGGTATTTCAGGATTCATCCTTTATTTTTGGTGAGAAACAACAAAGGTTTTAACTCAAGCAAGTCAACATGCCAAGTACAATTTCCTCATTGATTACGTCCAATAGGGGCTTAACTCAACTTCCCTTTTATGCACCAAATATGTAATTAAGGCCCAAGTGTGTGTTGCTTCAAATTCAAAACAGTTTTTAAATCCCTGCCAAGGACAATCGAGTTTTACTCGAGTTCTCTGCTGGTTTGTGTATGAACGATAAAAGGAAACAAATTTAATCAATATCATCTTTTGGGACTTCAGGACAGGTGGAGAAAACAAGTAAAAAAAATAATTAAATTAAAAAAAATAAATAAAAAAATAAAATAAAAAAAAAGCAGCAAAATAAATTAGGTTACCTGAGCAGAACAACAGAAAAGTTACAGAACATTTTCCCCTCAAAGCAAACAACAACTGGGCATACTGGTCAGACGTTCCCGAATAAACAAACAAGCAGCAAACACAACACAAACACGATGGACGTGATGATGGATGCTTCAGAAATAAAGAAAGTAAGAATGGCTGCAGAAAAAGAGACAATAAAAAAACAAACCAGTAACAGATGAAAATAACTGAAGTTAAGCAGCAGCTGGATGCAAGAACACAGAAGAAGAAAAAAGATTAATAAATGAAATTAAAAACAAACCCTGCAAAAAGAAACATGAGAGAACAGCAACATGTAATTAAAGAAAGCTAAAATAAAGCACCGAAAACCTAACGGAGAGGAAGAGGAGAGTGACTGAATGAGGCAGGTGGAAGGAGAGGGTTAGCCTTTAAGATGCGATGGTCAGAGCACGCCTCTTTAAAGGGGAACAGAGTGCAAATAAACAGAAGGGCGACCTTTAGAAGTTTCCACAGATGAATTAAGCTCATCTACATTTCTCACAGACTTTTCTTTGAATTAAAATAAAACTGAAATGTTGTTGAATTCTTCGGGTCGGGGAGAGATAAAGTGACAAATCAAAAGGAGGATCACTGTAATTTATTTAAGATTACTGGGCTGAACATAAACATTAAAACTCTGTGATTAACTTTCTTCCCCTTCATTTCTGTCATTTCGCTTCTTCTTAACTTAAAATTTTAACACACTGCTGACTGTGAACGGTCAGGAGTGAGCGGTTCAGCAGTCTGTTTACACAGGAGGCGTTCAGGTGCTGCTTTCAGTGTGGGACAGCCACGTTTTCATATATGATGAAGTAAAGCTGCAGTAAGAAAACGGATGATCTGATATCCTTGTGTCGGTGTTGTTCCCACATCATCATAATAAATATTGTTCCAGGTTCAACATTGCAAGTGACCAGTCACATTGTTGTGACGTCATACTTTTGCAAGCCAAGCCATTCATTCATTTATGGAATTCCAGTGTTGCAAGAACAACATGTATAATGCTTACCGTTTATCAAAGAACAGTATCCTGAAATGCAAAGAATTCAAATTGCTGGATCAGGCGGTGTCTTGCTAGTTAAGTCGATTTTTTTTAAGGCGGTTTTTCCCAAAGTCGCAAAAGTATGATGTCACAACAATGTGATTGGTCACTTGCAATGTTGAACCTGGGACAACATTTATTATGATGATGTGGGAACAACACCGACACGAGGATATCAGATCGTGCTTAAGAAAACAGCCGCAGGTGCATGTGACGGGTGTTTCACACCAGTGCTGTGTACAGCAGCTGGATTGGTAAACACAGAAACTTATTGTTCCTCTAGTCGTGGCTCTAGTTACTGCTCCTCACAGTAATTCATTCATTTTAATAAGTTTGACAACTGAACTTTGCTTAGGTTAAAAACCGATCTGTGTAATATTGTGACGAGCCATACTCCTGCAGCACAGCCAATAATACGTCACTCCTTTTTGTGTGAAAATCAGGTAAGCGCACGCTTCCTGGTGCAGCTGTTAGCACGCAATGGAGTCTAAAGACTAGAGCAGAGATCACCGGTCCCACTGTACTGTATACATTTTCCCACCAAAATGAAAGATTTCTTTTTGTTTTGTTTTTAAATGCAAAAAATACATAAATAAAATAATAATTTGGGATTCTTTTTTTTTTTCTCCACTGTGTTTTTTGGGATTTTCAATTTAGATTGCTGACTGACATTACCAGGATGGTCATGGTTTCTTGCCTGATCATTAAACTATCAAAGTAGGCAAAGCTTTGAAGTAGTACAGTGTGCATAGATGTACAGCGGTGACACAAAATTTGCATCCATCATACACATCTAAACACCCTGGAGGCCTACGGTGCCTTCGATTTTAGCCAGGCTGTTTACATTCCTCTCATCTAGTCAGTGGATTTGGAGACGGGTGGATTATCGGCAGATTGATTTATTTATGCATTTTTTCCAGAAAAATAAAGTCACTACAGCCACATACCTTGTTTCAATTCTCTCAGAAATCATTTGTTTTGATCTTACATGACATACCTTTCTGAGATCACTTTGAGCATGTAAATAACAAAATAAAATAAATAAATAAATGGCTGTGTCCAACTTGGCGAGTCCTGATTTTGCAGCAGCTTAATTAAAGATCTCAGTGCCATCACAGACTGTATCTAAAAGATGGATGCCACCTATGTTTTGTTTTTGTTTGTTTTTTTAAAGTCTATTTTTTCTGCAGTTCTTTGCTTTGTTTCAATCCATGCTCGATCATCATTGTAAGAAAATTACAGTAAAGTTGAATCAGCTTATCTGGACGTTGCATTTTCATTGGGAGAAACATTTTGTCACTCATCCAAGTGACTTTCAGTCTCAGCTGATTTTCCCAACCTTAAACTAACAGTAACAGTAAATTTCCATAATGACTGAATCTAGTATCACTGCTTCAGTAAAAACCTTTAATGACTCCTTATATGTCAGCCGTATCAAAACCGCTAAGAAGCATTTCATTAAAACGCAGCGTTTCTGTGGCTTTCAAACCTCAAAACACACTACACTAAAGATCAGTCAACCACAAGGATGTGTTTCCCCCGCCACAAACACAGTAATATAGTGTACACAGACGGTGGCTGTAGCTTTAAGTCATCTGCTAATCGGAAGGTTGTGGTTTGATCCCTAGCTTTTATAGTCTGCATTCCAAATAACCTTGGGCAACATACTACCTCAAGTTGCTAAGAGTATGAATGTGTGTCAACGTTAAATAGAGAGCACTTACATAGAAAAACATATATAAAAAAAAAAGGTGCTTGCATGAATGAGGCAAGTTGTGCGAAGCGCTTTGAGTGCTCAGAGTGGAAAAGTGCTATATACCATCTATAGACTGTCGTGATTTTATACATCGGGAAAACCAAACAACCTCTGGCTAAGCAGATGGGACAACACAGAAGAGCTACTTCATCAGGCCAGGACTCTACAGTCTATTTATACCTACAGTCCAATGGCCACTCTTTCAATGAGGATGTGCACATCCGGGACAGGGAGGAACGCTGAGGTTTGAGTGGTGGGAAAAGAGGACATTTTTTTTGGTGATCTAAAAAAAGTGATTGTAGCCACTCCAACCACAGCTAGAGTACCATTCAGAATGGCACTCATGGCCATTGATCAATTAACTGAACTCGCAGCTGGTTGTTAGTCAGTGGTGCTAGTTTTGGTCATTATCCAAATGTACTGTTTATAAGGTTGGGGAAAGCTACAGTTAACAGAGAGTGAAGAAATCCCCCGATTTAGTGAAAAAACATTTCTCACTCTGAAAACACAACGTCCAGATGAACAGATTTAAGGAGTCACCTTGTGTCGAACCTACACGCGTCGAGCGAGGGTTGGTGTGATGGAAAAACTGAGGGGCACTGCACGCTCACATGTCAGTTACAGAGTAGACACGCCCTGTTTTATAACACCCTTTTGACTCCAATTGTACCATCATTTATAAAATAAACATGGTGTTCCATTTAATAATGTGTTTACTGAGGTAGATCAAGTGAGCTGAAGGGTGATTTCTTCTAGACACCCGGGCATCCCTTTACAGCCAAAGGAGTCTCCCCCTGCTGGTCATTAGAAAGAGTACAGGTTTATTGCACTTCCATACTGTATTTAAAGACCTGGAAGCTAGGTGCCTCTTTTATGTCAAGTCTACAATAAGAAGCCTTGTCTACCCGTTTTTTTCCCTGCTACGATAGGTCAAACACCGCTGCTGTGAAGAGCATGAAGCATATGTACAAGGCTCCCTTTAAATGGAGGGTCTGTGGGTGGAGGGAGCCCATCCCTTTAAAGAGTGTGTTAATGTTAGCTGCAGCAGAACAGAAGCAGAAGTGAGACTGACTGGCAGACGAACAGGCAGACTGACAGCCATGCAGTTAGTGGTTCTCATATCAGAAGACGAGGGACCAGACGCCGTGATGATGATGATGATGATGATGGCTAAGATGATCCTTAGTCTTAAATGGAAGTTTAGGAGGTGAAGAGAGCGATCTGGTGATCAGAATTCAGAGTTCAACAGCTGGGTTACCTTTATGTATCATCACCCTGCACCGCAACACATCATCATCCTGAGCTGTTAGCATTCAAATGGTGAAAGATGCAGTTTAGGAATATTTGGATGCTTGCCATTAATAACCTGCTCCTTACACTTGCATTCCCTCCTTATTTAGGTTAATTTGTGACTGAATTTATGACCATTAAAAAAAAAAGTGTGGACATATGGGGGAAAAAAGGGAATGCACTTCTGGTAGCTTGTTTGGAAGGAGAGACTGACCTACAAATTTGCCTCATATCAGGTACAGAAAGTGTTCCAACTTTTTGTTTATGAGGGGCTGCCAAACAAAAAACAATTGAATTAAAGTGAACGGAGCTAAAACAGCAGGATTCACACTTAGGTTCTGCATTAAGGCCCAGTATAAGAAAATCATGAGTCATGCAATGCTTCTCTATTAGACTTAAAGAATTGTAATAATATATTTATGTGTTGGACACGTTTACAGGAGCTTTCACTTTCAACAGCAATGCCTGTAGTTCTTATTTTCAAAAATAATCAGTTCTCACGGCGGAAACCTGTGTTGAGCTCAGAGGGAGATTTCTTTTCAATTTCAGCACGTCAGTTTTCCAGCTGAAACTCATGACCCTGAATTCATCACAGATCAGAACGACCCTTTCGCCTCTGACACCTTCCAGTGATGACAAACAGATAGACGCATCAGAGACAGACAGACAGACAGGACGGCAGAGAGATAGACTGATGTCATGTCGGTGTGTACCTTTCTACCACAACTGGCCGAAACACCAGTAGAGCAGAGCCAGGACAAGGCCCATGAATATGGCTTGGACAGGCTGCAATATGGATGGCTAAAAGGGAGAGGGGTTGGAGGGGGAGAGTGGATAAGAAGAAATCAGCCAGCAAATCAACCAAAACCAACATGGAGGATGGAGCAGCTACAGCGAGGGGGGAGGGAAGAAAGGGAGAGAGGGGGTTTGGGTTTGTATCCAATCAGCCGTTTTCTACAAAGCAGCACCAACATTTCTACACATTCAGCAGCCACATTCACAATCACCACGGAGGAGCAGCCATCCGTCACCAGGCTCTTTTAAAACAGCAACACTTTTCTGCAGCAGGAACAGATCTCCTCCAGCTGCCGTCTGTCAGCTGGTTTCAATCTGATCTTTACAGCAGGACGGACACCGGTTCATACAAAGAAGCCTAACAGAAATGCACTGAGTGAAGAGAGGGTAACTCTAGTTTTTTATAATCAGGTTCTTATTTGCTCCATTGCTATCAGTGCTAATTAATGCAAACAGTGGTTAATGAGATCTGGGAACACAGTGAAATGAGCTACAAATACTTTTGTCTAGAAAATCTTTTGTAACCCTGATGGACATTTCCAAAAACACTTTTAGCTCACATCAGTGCCATTCATCTTTCCTTCCAAATAAATCAATCAAATCTGGAGTTTTGTTTTAATCTGCCTAGTTGAATAAAAAATGGTTTCCATCTGGAGATATCTCAAATGAAACTTCACTCATCCTGCATTTTAGTCTCCACAAAAGAATTAAACTGGTCTTGGACAAGCCCCCAATTATGTTACAACCCAGTTTATAAGCATCATTAGATCAATAGTTAACCTAATTTAGGATGGCAAGGTCCAGCAAAAAGTAGTGGAAGACCTTCCAAACCAATCGTCGCATTCCATTATCCACACTGTATCAGCTACAGACCACTAGCAGTTTAGTCCATGCAACGCCCAAAGACGATGCACTGTGAGGATAATGAGAATTGGAGAAGGCCATGAAAGAAAAGTGGGACAGGAGAGAATCAGTTCACTTAACATACAGCAATGGTGGATTTATTTTTTTATTTTTTTATAATAGATATCAATTGTAGACTTTGTATCAAAAAATACATAAAATAAAAAAACAGAAACAATGAGACTTTCTAGTGTGGCCTTCGTGTTCCCAGATCTCAGATATTGCAACATTATTATTACCAAAAAAACTAAAGAGGCAAAATTACAAGGTTGTAATGAAGAGAAATTGGCCTTTAGATATATCGTGTTTTAAGAGCTGAGGGAGGAGGAGAGGAAGAAAAGAAGGGGGGTGGGGGTACAGAGTAGGCTGCTCCGCCTCACTGATTTTCTGATTAATGTTTCCAAGAGTTTTTATCCATCAGCTTATTTATCAGAACAGGATATAAACCAGGAGAGACGGTGAGGTCACAGGTCACCTTGGCTTGAGGAGTCAGTTTAAAAAAACAAAACAAAAAAAAACAACTGCTTTGAATGTGTTCACAGAGCTGCATGAATTCAGTTAAAAAAATCACAATTTAAATGTTATTTTGTTACCTCACCAGTTATTATTTGGCATTATGAGCATTTCTACTTTCAACAAAGATGTTATTGGCCATTAGACAACACTAACGCTGTGTGACATTTCTCACAGGTCAGGATAAAAATGCAGCTTCACCTGCATAAAAAGCAACCTTAAAGCAAAAATAAATTATGGTAAAACTTAAAGCTGAGCAAACATAGATTACAAAAAAACAGTCCAAGCACAAGTCTGTGTTTTTTATCATAAAGGAACAAAGAGTGTTGGTGTGGGCACTCACAGAGCTGGACTTGTCCTGCAGCAGCTTGAGGCTGCTCCTGCACTGCTCCAGCTCCTGGTGGATGTTCAGCTTCTCCTGCTCTGTTCTCTCATAACGCTGACGGAGATCAGATAGCTGGGACTGTGTGTCTTCATACTGCAGACACACACACACACACACACACACACACACACGAAGGCCACTGTCATTTCTATGTCCATTTGCATAAAGGGTTCACTTCCAGGTTAAGTTAACCTCTTTGGGATATCCCTTTCTCCTTGTGACATCATACAGATCCAAGAATAGAAAAAAAACTGCCAGAAAAGAATAACAGGCCCCTTTAAAACTGATGGAGAATCCACCAAGTGCCACATTTACAAAAGCTCACTAGCTGCTGTTACCAATAACTCAGTCGACAAACACTGGACTTTTTATACAACTATCTGACAAACACTATTGACCTGCTGAGTTATTATCATTTTGCTAATGCATTTTGGTAATGCCGAGATTTATCTTTTTCCCTCATTTTTTACAACTTTCAATTACCCAAAGCAAACATATAATCAATAAATCACCAACTTGTCAATTAATGTCACTTGATGTGCTCCACTGAACAGATACTGACTGCAGCTTGCTTGTGTAGCTGTTTGTCTATCTAAAAGCTCTTTTTAGCTGAACCCTTTTTGGGGGGTTTAAATAAAGGAGCTCAAAAATTCATTCAGGCTGCTGCTTGTATGCATTTCCCCCACTGTGGAGATTTTGGTACATTTTATTTTATTTCTCTGAGAACCCCAGTGTGGTTTCCTTTCTTTATTCACATCTGCCTTAGGCATCTGCTCAACCACCTTCACTCATGCTGACTTAAGTCTCTCTGGATTTATCAAAAAGACTCATTGATCCATTTCCAACTTTTATTTTTCATCTCTTCCATTTGTTTTGTTGTTTCTCACCTGGCGTTTTCTGTGTTTTATTTTTATTTTCTTAAATCCCATTCTGTGTGCGTACCTCTTTCTGCAGTGTGTGTGTGTTGGCCTGGGCCTGGTCCAGCTGGCTCTTTAGCCTGCTCGCGTCCTGCAGGTGCTGATTCTCCAGAGAACCCAGTTTGTCCTGCAAAACCTCCTCCCTCTTCTCCAGAGACTCCAGACTGCTGCTGAGGACCAGACTCTTCTCCCTGGTGCTGCAAACACACCAAATCACACCTCGACTCAGTAATCACTCCACTACGTTTCTCAACAATGTTAGAAACTCTCGAAGGATTTGCGATGCTGTGACCTTATTGAAGACTTATGAGACTCATTTCAGGCTCCTTTTTTTTTTTTTTTACTGTACTCTGGAGTCATTTATACTTGCCTTGGCGCAGGCCCTCAATTTATCCGGTCTGAAACAAGCTGTTTTAGCTTCTCTCTATTTAGACCAGCTTTTTTCCCCCATAATTGGCTGTGTCTTATAGACAAATGATTTGAACACCCTTTGAGGGGCTTCTGTGGTCACAATTAAAGCTGTGATTTTATTAGTATCATGTAGATCCAATGGTAGTAAAAAAGTGCACCTCTGTAGGAATACTGAGAGAGATTACTTTGTACTCTGTCCAGACGCCATTATAAAACAAAAAATATATAAATCATTGTGTGTAACTGGGATACCTTACACATGATGTACAACATTTTTAAAAATAATTTTAGCAAATAAAGGCACAAACATTGCATTTCCCTTTTTTATTATGAAGAGTGAGACTTAATGTTAACAAATAGTTGTGTCTTCTCAATAGTCATGTGTTCACCATCACTGCTGGTAAACAGATGAGTGCCTGGTTCATACAGAGTGTTTTATTCTGAAAAATGACCAAACTGTATGCTTTCTCTGTGTCTGGCTTCCTGTCCTGCTTATCTGCACTATGCAGCTTGGTGCACCATCCATCAAAAATAGACTAGGGGTATGTTTTTGGCCAAGTCCTCAGTGTGTCTCGGCACTGACTGACCTCATCCATCTTACAAATGCATTATGATATGGAAAATTATGTGCTGACGGGAATTCTTTTATTGACAGCGAAGATTTTGATCTGATAGAACATTTTACTGGAATTTATACTGGTAAATTCCTTTTGACGTAGCTCTCCAATATAATTTTCTGCTTATAGAGCTACATGCAACATAAACTGGAACATGGAGTTTATACATGTGTTTATAGTTTTGAAAACCTTCTGTCCAACATGTGGATCAAATCCTTCGACTGGTACTGTAAACAGTGATTTCTGTATTTAGCTTGTTTATGTAAATGCTGCAACAAAATGTCAAAACATTAAAAAACACTCTGACTTGTTTCCCTAAATGTCATCAGAAAGAGTTCAAATGCAGAAATTGATCCACAAACAGCAAAATCAAACTTTGGAAATGCTGACAACTCTCATTAGTCAGATCTCTTTAAAGTGGTTTTCAGTCTTCTCCTGGGATTTGATAACCTTAAAACACAGGAGAAAAAAAATGCTTGATTACTTCTGAGTGCAACTGTAGTTAAAATATATGTCGAGCTTGCAATTACAAACATAACTACACTAGACCTTAATAAAAAAAGTAAGCCACCAAAGTAATCCCAAATACTGCAGTTCCTCTAACAGCCACTTGAGGCTGGTTCCAAAAGGGATTTCCAACTTTAGAGCAGAAATAAACCTGTTTACAGGCTGGTACAAAACATGGTTCTGACTCTACAGGTCATTTATCTTCCATAACAACTAAATAAATCTAAATAAATTCCTTTTTAAACTTTAAAGTTACAGTGTGTAAGATTTCAAAGCTAGTTGTCCATAGATTTCAGTCAGTTCAAATTGTTTGCTTACTCCTCCCAAATCAACCGGATCATTCCTGCTGAGGTGGCTGTTGTAGGAATAATGTGATTCATTCAGTCAAAAGATCAAAAAACATTTATATTAGATTAGCCCATAATGGATGTTTACTGTTTGTTTACAAGAAAACGTTTTTTGTACATTCGACCTGAACTTTTTTGAATAATATCAACAACAGTAATAAACCAGGAAATACAAAACAGATGGGTGTGTAACTATCTTGCAGTATCCTATTTTTTTATCCTTTGAATTACCTCAAAAGCTCTGACCACCTTTCATCTGTAGTGAGTGTACTCAGACAGCAAAGTGACTCTGAACTGGATCCAGCTTGGAGGTTTTTGCTATCTGGGTAGGCTGTCAGTTCACTGTTTACCTCAGCTGTCAATATGCCGGATAAGAATCGTCCATGTCCAAAGTGCATTCATCTCTTTGTAGAAAGTCAAAAGATGTGTACAGTTTATTGTAAACTAGTAAAAAAAAAAAAATTGTAGCTGAAGCGCAGATAAAATCCTGCTGAGGACGTGGTTGTGGTGAGAACATGCAGCAGTGTTTTCTCTCAGTGGAGAACAAATCTGGCAGATAGTCTCAGTGAGCTGTCAGTCAGCTGTCATCTCCTCGTCTTTCTCTGCCTGAATCAGCTGGACACCATGTTTCCTTCTGTCAGTCTCACCCTCAGCCTGCCCTTTAATGCTGAATCCAAACTCTGAACCTGATCTGTCGACTTGGCACTGCTCCCGAGAGCCGTCCTGGGCCAGAATTCATCAACTCGATCACGCCTGTCAAAAGACTTTAAGGTCCACCTAACAAAGTTTGATATGTTCCAGGTTTCGAGACTCTCAGCTTGAGATCCAGTTAAGAGAATATAAGTTTCAAAGTGGTGTTTATTTAGTAACGCTATATTCAAATGGTTTATAGCTGTGTGGACCTTTTTTTGACAAATAATTAAATGTGATCTTGTATAATTCTGACAGCACTGCAGTATAGTAAAATAAATAAAATAAAATAAAACAGTGGATTCAGATAAAAAAATTTAAAGCAATGTGTGTGTACCTGCTCAGCTCAGCCTCCAGGCGGTGCAGTTTTTCTGTGAGTGTTTTCCTCTCAGCTCTCAGGCCATCACAGTCCTGCTGCAAACACGTACACCGCTGGTGCAATGCAGTGCACTCCACTGTGGCAGCGAGACATAGAGGATGCACAGTTATGATTAGTAGTGATTCAAAGACATGAACAGACAGCCTCAGACAAACATGCAGGCAGTGCTCACCCTGCAGCTCGCTGGCAGCAGTCTGCCGCTGTTCCTGCTGCGTGAAGGCCTCCTGCAGCCGGGCGATCTCCTCCTCGTATTTGGCGGCTGTGTTCCTCCAGTGCTCTAGCTCGGAGCGCACACTGACCAGGTCTGCCTGCAGGACAGTGATCTCACGCTCCCGCTCCGCCGTGGCCGCCTCCATAGCGTGTCGCAGGACAAGAATCTGAGAGCAAAAACACAATCGGTGGTTCGATCACTTTCTCATGAGACTACAATTTGGTGCAAACTGACAAACAGGGAGGCTTTTTGCATAACGAAGAATGAGTGACAGAGACTCCAGGGTTCCTGACTCATTTAAACAAACAAACAAATCCTTATAATGTTTTTTATAAACTTAGAAAGGACTATGAGCGAACAATGTCACATTGTTTACCATTTGTCATTTTTAGAAACAAGAATGTCTAGTTACAATTTCATTTTTATTAGTTTCAATGTTTGTTATTATTACAATGATTTCAAAAGAAAATATTTTTAAAAATATTTCCACAGGCAAGATGTAAGATGTAGGGGTGCAACGATACTTGTATCGATA